CCGCCAAAGAACTGTCTCTTCTTGCTAGTGGACTCTATTGACGAGGGCCAGACGTTGAATCCACCGCAAACTGGCACTAGGGACTCCCGAAGAGAAAATGATAATGTCAGTCGTACAATAGCTGAATTGCTGGCTAATCATCACCATCTATTCCCACAATGGCTTTTGTTAGTTTGCACCGCTCGACGACAGAGTAAGACTATATCGCGTATGTTCACTGGCTTTCGCAAGATCTCACTGGACGACCTAAGAAAGTCTCAGGTCGTTAGGGATGTTCAGCAATATATCCTCGCGCGGCTGGATCAGGAAGACGCGCTTAGGTAACAACAGGATTAATTGTTGTGCATCTAGGACACTTAATTCTCATTAACTATTTGTATTCTTTGTTATCTGCTTGAACGAATTTTTTTATTAATCCTTTGCCGGCAACCGGGGTTTTTAAAAGCATCGATATTTTGATTGTGAATTTTGGTAGGTAAAATTTGAATCTGTTGAAAATAAATAAAATCCGACTTTTATGATGGTTGAACTCATTAAAACTTTAACAAGTATACTAGAATTTTTTCAACATTTATTGTATAGTCCGGAACAATAAAACGTTTGTTCTGTTTTTTGAAGATCCCTATTGCTGATGGAAGAATTAAAATTCATATCGTCAAATAGTTAAAACAATTCAATTGATACTTTTGCATTAATTTTATTGACAGTCATTTTTGGGAAAACAATTGAGAAAAGATAAAAAAATGTAATTCTTTTTTTAATTCTTTTTAATTCTCTGAGAGAAAATTACATTCTAATAATATTATTAAACTTACACATTTAAATGGCATACAAAAGTTTACAACAACGTTATTAACAACAATGATATTTAAACTTACATTTTACTTGTCACTCGTGAGTAATCGTTTCGCTAATACTTCCATAAACTACTTTCACAGGCAGCACATCTCGCGTGACACCGCCGAGATGCTGAACCAGCTGCACATAAAGAGCAACGGCTGCTTTCTGTACCTGGAGAAAGTTCTCGACGGCGTGGCGGAGAACTTTATTGTTCTGCGCGAGGTGCGAGAGATACCAGGAACGCTGAACGGCCTATACCTCTGGCTCTGCCAGCGACTCTTCAGCAGGAAGCAATTCAGCAAGGTGCAGCCTCTACTCAACGTCATACTCGCCGCCAAATTGCCCATCACTCAAGAGATTCTGTACGAGAGCGTGAAGACGGCCTGCGTCGGCATCACCGTGGAGGACTTCAATCGCCGGCTCCATTTGCTGCGACGGGTGATATCGGTCTCGCGTGCCGGCGCATTGATGCTTTTTCATCACAGCTTCGCCGAATGGCTGCTGGACGTAAAGCACTGCACCCAGAAGTATCTTTGTTCGGCCACTGAGGGTCATGCCATGCTGGCGGCCTACTACACTCTACGCGGTCCCGCGCTCAATCCCGACGAGATCTGCGTACTGGCGCAACACCTGCAACGTGTTATAACGAGCATTCCGGTTAACACCACGTTGGATGTCTACACTCTTCAAGTACTCTGGATGATTGGCAGTAACGCGCCCATCGAAGGCTGTTATCTGGATAGCTCCGAGTGCATTCTTTGGCCCAGGCAGGATGTTAAGCTTCTGAAATTGCTAATCGACACTGGTGCTAAGCCCTCTGAGAAAACGATTGATGATGACGCTAGCAAAGATGCTATTTCTTCTAGTCAGGTAGTGTTCTTTTTATTAAAATGAGAATCTAATTCATTTAAGATAGTTGCATTTTATTTCGAATACGAATCTATTTTTAAAATCTCTCGGGATGCTTTGATGAATATAATAGTAATAGGTATCTAATCTCCAGTTATGTTGGAAACATGAAAACAGGAAATTATGATAAAATACAATATCTAATCTAGTTTTTTGGGGTCAGTATACTATTTTTATGATAAGAGAGAACAATGCGACTCATAGAAAATTTCAAGCATTATTAAGTTCCATATGTCCTCAGTATGATATGACTCATAATACATTCGATAACGCTACATCATAGTTTACTGAATGTGATGGAAAATATTTGTAATAGAAATTTTGTAATTAAAAATTGTAGCGACGGAAAATTTAATCTCGCGTTTCCTACACAAAGGTTTCGCAAGATGTGAGCCCCATTGATGAATCTCCGAGTGAACCGCTAACAGAGCTTCTCGGTGAAAGCGGAGATATCAATCAAACAGACTCTTATGGACGAACGGTGTTACACACTTTAGCTGCCGACGGCAATGCATCTCTTCTGGAATTGGCGCTTGCAGCCTGCCCTCAGGTATGCAAACTATAATCTCAAATTAAAATGTTTAATTAATTAAGAGAGCTATCATTTTACATATTACAAGCTAAATAACCAAGCGTACCAAATTATTAATTATAAATTTAATTTCCAATTTTGTGCATTTTTCTAAAATCTTGTTTCTAAGTTTTATGCATTTTTTTGCAAAGAATAGTTTTTTAAGTTAAATGTCATCCATTTTTAAAAGTAAAACATCACATCTGTTTCCATTTTTTTTTCCATATAATACTATAGAAATAACTTGATGGATTTTTAAATTTCAGGCAAAATTGGAAACGGTCGACCGTAATGGACAAACGCCACTGAACTTGGCCGCCAGGCATGGTTACTCGGATGTGGTGCGTGTTCTTTTAGCTGCCGGTGCGAGGGCGGATCACGCAGACTGTGACGGCTGGACCGCCCTCAGGGCCGCTGCCTGGGGAGGGCATACTCAGGTATAATTAGATTAAGTGGCGAATTTCTAAGAACATATGCAAGTCTCATTAACTCCGCATTATATACATGTAAGAGATAGTAAGACCATTAAATTGCAGATCTCGCGAGTCGTAAATGAAACAGGTGTTTCTCACGAGTTCTGTTTCAGGTGGTCGAGCAACTTCTGAAGCACGGGGCTATGGTAGATTGCGCGGATTGGGATCAACGAACTGCGTTAAGAGCCGCCGCATGGGGCGGTCACGAGGATATCGTTAAGGCTCTCTTAAAACACGGCGCGGACGTTAACAGAACAGACGACGAAGGTAGAACTGCTTTAATCGCCGCGGCATATATGGGTCATAATGAAATCGTGGAACATCTTTTGGATTTCGGTGCTGAAATCGATCACGCGGACAGCGACGGCAGAACTGCGCTCAGTGTTGCCGCGCTATGTGTTCCTGCCAATCACGGATACGTAAAGGTTCGACCAGACACATGAATAATACACACATACGCGTAGCTATAAGCTATATAAAGCTTATATTAAACTATGATATAGTTCGGTGTATTATCTTTAGCATTCGAGAATTTTTGAATTTATTGATAATTTAGTACAATTCTGTTCTATAAGTGTGATGAAAATGGTTTTGATTAAAATAGTTTATATGCAATATAAGTAAGATTTAATATTAGATATATTACATATATTAAACAGATTATATCAAATGATAATATATATTATATGTTAATGTATATTGTATGTTAATTTTGTCTGTCGCAGGTAGTCACGATACTTTTAGAGCGAGGTGCCACCGTGGATCACGAAGACAAAGACGGCATGACTCCGCTGCTAGTCGCCGCGTTCGAGGGTCATCGCGACGTTTGCGATTTGCTTCTGGAATTCGACGCGGATATGGATCATTGCGACGTCACTGGGAGGACGCCTTTGTGGGCGGCCGCGAGTATGGGACACGGCTCGGTCGTCAAGCTCTTACTGTACTGGGGCTGCTGCGTCGACACTATAGACAACGAAGGCAGGACCGTTCTCAGCGTGGCCGCTGCCCAGGGCGGCACGGACGTCGTGAAGCAATTGCTCGCCAGAGGTACATTGTAGAATTAGTTTAACTGGCGCAAGTATATTGTGCCTGATCTCTGTCTCTCCATCATAAGTGTATAAAGAGATGTAATTTCTACGTAAGGCCTAGATGAGCAACATAGAGACAATTCTGGCTGGACCCCACTACACTATGCGGCGTTCGAGGGTCACGTCGATGTTTGTGAGGCGTTACTAGAGGCTGGCGCGAAGATTGACGAGACGGACAATGATGGAAAGAGCGCTATTATGCTCGCAGCACAGGAAGGGCACACGTCATTGGTAGAGAGATTACTGAAACAACACAACGCGCCTATAGATCAGCATGCCCACGATGGTAAAACCGCTTTAAGGTACTGTGCTGATGTAATAATTTATGATGTTATATACTGTTATACAATTTATTATTTTAAAACTAATTTTTAATTAATCGAGAAAAAGCTACGATCGCGTCTTACAGACTATAATCCAAATAGTTTGTAAAGTTATAATATGTGCATCTTTTGGGAAAGATTGACTTTTTCTTTTAAAATAGATTTAGATGTTTCTCTACTCTCTAATAATTAATGAATTAATCCTCTTTAATCTAAATAAATAAGATTGTAAATAAAATTGTAGACATTTTTAAGTGAATTTTCGCTTACACATTCATAGACTCGCGGCTCTGGAAGGACATTATGATACAGTGAAGATATTATTATCTCATAATGCTGATGTTAACGCGAAAGATGCCGATGGAAGAAGCACTCTCTATATACTCGCGTTAGAAAACAGATTAGCTATGGCGAGGTTTTTGCTCGAACACGCGAACGCAGACGTAGAAGGTAGAGATTCAGAAGTAAGTAATCACCACTCGCGTTGAAAGAAGATACTCAATTTATTTTAATATCTGAAATGACTCGCGTTTTACATGTACACGCCTGGAATTGATAGTTATTATATTTGTGTTCTACAGGGTAGAACGTCATTACATGTAAGCGCTTGGCAAGGACACGTGGAGATGGTAGCGTTGTTGCTAACCGAGGGTGCAGCTAGCGTGAACGCTTGTGACAATGAAAATAGAACACCGCTTCATTCGGCTGCTTGGCAAGGTCACGCAGCGATTGTCAGATTGCTCTTGGAACATGGTGCCACTCCTGATCACACTTGTAATCAAGGTGCAACGGCTCTAGGTATATTAATCATGAACAATATCTACAATCGTATGAATAAGCTATACATCGACTATATAAAACTATTTTTTTTATAACTTAGTTGTAGCTCTCTTATAAAACTGGGGTATGTTAGATGATAGGAGAATGCAATTTTTAGGTATAGCTGCTCAGGAAGGACACGAACACTGTGTTCGGGCGCTTTTGAACCATGGAGCTGACCCTAATCACTCCGATCACTGTGGACGTAACGCCATTAAAGTAGCCGCTAAAAGCGGTCACGATACAGTTGTTAGGCTGTTGGAAGAGCATTCTGCGAATCAACGCAGTTTGAGGCCTGGTATCAATGGAGGTTAATTGATAGTCTCGTTTTCTATTAATTCATTGTCAAACTTGTACACATTTATAGTATTTTCAACTGCATGAGTTTGAATCGATCTGAGGTCGATTAATGACGTCACATGCTCTACTTTGGTTTCTGATTGAACGATGGCACTTCCGGGTTAATCAATTTCGATTCGATTCAAATCCATTGAAAACACTATTAGAAACAAAACACAGCTAATCGTTCCTATCATTTCCTTTCCGCGAGAGATAAAATTCAAATTGTTGAATCTGAAATTATTTTAATAGAATTTTGTTTCTTTTATTTTTATGATAATAAATTTTTTACCGAAATCTCTTTTGATATATTAATCGAAAATTGAAACAGTAATGTAACGTTGCATAATTTTTCTAGGTGGTAGTAGTAGTGCTACTTCTGTCACATCTAATTCAACGGCTGAGACTAAACCTTCATCGGCAATTCTAAATCCTCTGTCGACGCAATACAGTCCAGCGGAATCGCCAGACTCGACGAAACGACGCAGTTGCGTTTCTTTAGGCAACAATTCTAGCAACAGCAAATCGAGCAGTAATTTAACTGGCAGCACTAAGAGCGATCAAGGAAAATTCAATCAGAACTCGATAGTTAATTGTCAGGTGATTAAAGTACGTGACAACATTTCATACTGCTTATTGAATGATAAAATTAGAGCAATTTATTTCATGACTATGTTATGATTAATATTATGTAACTCTTATAAAACATAAATTATTTAGCTTTTTTAAATATATCTTGTAAATTATTTGATTCTTACAGAACAAAATCTAAACTGCTTAATTTTCATAATTTTAGGCACCGTTATCTTTCACTCAACAACTACAGCAATGCTCAAGGGGAGCAAAGAGTCGACCACTCAGCAAACTATTGTCACCTTTGAAAAGCGAGCCGCAGAGTCCAATATACGCCTCACCTCCGCACTCTCCGTTAAGCGACAGTCTTATTCCTTACTCACCTACAAACACGAGTCCACCTAGTGCTCAAACGGCAGTTAACGTGATACAGAGTCAGCTGGGCGTATCGTTGCTGGCAGCAAATCCAAATATGTCGTATAAAACGCAGATGGGATACAATCATACGCCCGTCATCTACGAGCCTATCAACATCAAAACTGAGATTATTGACAGGAATAACATGAGTAAGCCATTTGAATTAACGAACGAAATGTTGGGCTTGAATATTGGGAAAGATAAAGAGAATGGGCATGATGAGAAACGAAATTCGGCTGACACGCATTTTACACGAGACACTCATATGAGAATAATTTTGGGAAACAGCGGCGCTGGCGTTGGTAGAAGCGTCAAGCACGTTTCGGATCACACACCTGGAAGGTAAGCATAATTAATAAGAAATAAATTATATACACAAGTAAGCACTATACTAACACTCTGATTATGTTTACCACAGCATATACAACTAACGTTTTCTCATCGTGCAATGTTTTTGTTCACCTACGAGACACGACATCAGACTACATTTTAGAAATCGCAAATTATTTATAGGCATACGTTCACAAAACTCAGCGAGTGTCAGTCAAACGTCATGTACATTTGTCTTATGTTTCACACGTGCACATCATCCACAAAAATCATATGTACATAATTCCATCTTCTCAATCGAAATTTTATTAAAAAAACATACTTATTATCTTAATTTTTTTCAATGCGATTCTTTAGACTTTGCAGAAATCACAATGGTCGTATAAGGAAGACACACCGCTTCATGAGCGATAGGCTTTCCTTCCTTTTTCAACCCTCCCGAGCGAAAAAAGATAGAATATGTAGTCAAGGAGGACATACGACAATGTTAGACATATTTATCATGCTATGTATCAATTGGTTTTAACATTGTTTACTTAAAAATGTATTGCTGATCAGAAGCAAATACATGTCACTATAAAGTTATTCTTTTTTTTTCTAAAATTTTGATACATTATTACTTTACTTTTCTTTTTAACTTACATTTAACTTGTCATGTCAACTCTTCGATGGAACAAAATAATATACATGTATGTTATTCGTAAGCACATTTTGTATAAAGTATCACTATATTTCATTTCAGTGCAAGCAATGTAAAACCAAAGCGTAATGGTTTGGTATCCAACCCAGCCATGAGATTAGTAGCAGGCGTTAGAAATGGAATTGAGAATGCTACAAATAGAAATAAGCCTATTACAACACGTGTAAATGGATTCCAATGGAAGGCGGAAGCACGCAAAGAAACTCCCTTGTAGGGACAGGTACATACTTTTAATAATCTCTATAAATTTACAAACAACAGCAAATAACTTAGTGTCGTTTAAAATTATTTAAATAGTATTTTACGAAATATAGTTTGCACTTGAATTTAGCGTGCCGATTAACTAGTGTAATTATAAAATAATGTGTTAACATTTAAAAAATATTTTATTAGTTTTTAATTGAACAAAACATTACATTTTTTAATTAATTATCTGTTATTAATAGACTGCGGATATTTATACAAAATACTTACTGAATATTTTGCCTAAAATGCATATTTTGCATAAATTGCATATTTACAGATGGCAATCTCAACCTTTTTACTTTACTTTTTAATAACTCTTTAACGAACAACGATCGACTGCTAAAACTGTTTGATGGTTAATATTCAGTTAAGTATTTCGCATAAACATCCGCAGTTTAGTTATCAAATCTTATACAATGGCGTAATAATAATTAGTCTGTATTAGTGGATATATGCTTATATAAATACCATTATATGAAATATAATAAAAAAAATGTATTTATTTTCGCTGCCATAGGCTGTACCTCATGGATTGTCTCGGCGAAGAGCCACGAGCCAATACCGTAGATGGCGATCTGCCGCGAACAAAAAGCGAAAGTCAATAAACAAATTTTTCTCTGTTTATTTGAGCAAAATCAAATTACCTCAAATAAAAAGGAAGAGGAAGGAAGAGTGAATATTCTGATGTGACGTGAACAACGGAGATCGCGTAGCACACAAAACCAAATATTAATTTGCATAGGGAAAGTATATGTAGACATAGATATGTAAACTAAACAAAACATGACTTTGTATAAATATAACGTTAATGGAATTATTTACTGATCTCACTAATATATTACATGCATACACATATACACGCATTTGTATTGGGTGTGTGTATGTGTATGTCTGTACGTGATGCTTATACAGAATATCGCAAACACTGCCCAGTCTCCAAATCACCAATTTTAGGAAAAAAGGTACTTCGCTTTGCAACAGTCGGGAGTAAAAACAGCCAGAAGTGACTAAAGTTTGTTAACGAAAGAAATTGATCAGCTTTTGAGGTATTCTGTATATATACTTAAAAAATTATTATAAAAATTTTGAGAGAAAAATACAGAGAGAGAGAGAGAGAGAGAGAGAGAGGGGGAGAGAGAGAGAGAGAAAACCTTTAGTCGTTATGTTAATGCCAGGTTAGACGATAACGTTTAATGGTAAAGTTTAACAATGAAAATTTCTTCAGAAGACTGGATGCAAACAGAATGCATATGTGATCTTTTAATGGATAACTTTAAACCGAAAGAATAATATTGTAAAGATATGTATAAATTATATTAGAAGAAAAAGTTAAAGAAAAAACGATATTACGGACTCATTACAAATACGTAAAGTTATGGCCTGAAAATGAGGAACGTGTGTAAATACCCCCTCGTAATGTCTCATGCAACATATTTATTATACTGTAATAGGTGCGAAATAAATAAAACTAGAAAAGAATATTACACATAATTACCAGCGTAATAATTTGTTGCTTTGTATTATTGCAATTGTCATCAATTGTCATCGTGTTTCCGCATAATATCCTATTCAACGATAAATTACTTAAGATGAATATGACGATACACCAAGATGATTTATGATAATAAGTGCTTTCTATTTACTGACACAAGTCAACACAAATGTTGTTCTGTTTTTGTTACTCTCTGAATGGCAAGAAAGATAGAAGGACGCTTGTGTCGATTTGTTACTAAATGGAAAATACGTTACATCATCATAAAAAATAATAAATAATTTTTCTTAATAAAATGAATTAAAAATTTAACAGTAAGCAATAAAGATAGCAGTAACAAAAGCTTTTTTCATTTGGTATCATTTTGTTCAAGCGGCCGTTTGATCCGAGTTCTTGAAGCGATTTTCTAATTATCCAATTATGCTGTGTGTTTAACGTATCTCACCGTTACTCTAATGTCTTATCTTCCTCCAGTCTGTTGTACACATTCATTCTCAACCACTGTCCGGACATCTTCAATTTGGAAATAAAGTAGCAGAGCCGTGCAAAAAGTTTTCGAGACTCTAGTTGCTATAGGGCCTAGTGCAAAAGTAAAAATGAGAGCCTTCATCTGTTCATGAATATAGTGTATATACGCTCTTTATAAATAAGCGGTTACGCCTTTCTTAGAGCATATACATGTGTTACTTGTAGGTAAAGTATTAAAAACTGAAAAATAATAAAGAATCATTTATCAACTGTTTTGTTCATTACTACTTTCAGTAATTATGCAGTATAAGGGACCATCCTCCAATGACCTTGACCTATGTTGTCAAGGTCATGATTCCGAGTGACCTTGAACAAATTTTAGCCGTCGCTCGTTGTTTGTTAAAGTTATTAACAAAAAAAGTTCTTCAATAAAATCTAACTTTTGGACATCACTCGGCTCCGATGAGACAAATTCCCTGCTTTAACAGTGCAAAATATTTTCTAATATAATTTTTGTGTCTTTAGAGCCAGAGAATTTGTATTTTTAAAGCAGAGAATTTATAGTTTTAAAAGCATAGAATTTGCGTTTTAAAAGAAAAAAATGTGGTTTTAAAGAATTTGTGTTTGTAAAACAGGAAATATTTTATTATGTATAATGTACACCTTTTCCATTCTTTTTATACGGACAGAAGTTTAAATCTAACATTTCGCGAAAATAAACACTGTAACTGTAAACACAATTACGTCGTTGTCGCCCAAATTCCTATAACGATCGAAATATATGTTACAAATATATAACTTCATTCATTTGTTGAAATTTATAAACTTACCTTATGATTTAAATAAGCAAATCCATCCTGAATCTCACGTTTTCGATTATTCGTGTATGCTCGTTTCAATGGGAAAGATAAAATATGCAAAAATTCCTCAGATATAGCATTTACGTAGGCGAAATTAACCAATATTATCTGTTTATGATCGGTCAAATTGTATTTTAAATATTTTAAAAATACACACAAATTTTCTGCATTAAAAATACAAATTCTCTGGCTCTCTAAAAACACAAAAATTATATTAAAAAATATTTTGCGCTGTTAAAGCAGGGAATTTGTCTCATCGAAGCGCAGTCATGTCCAAAAGTTAGGTTTTGTTGAAAAACTTTTTTGTTAATAACTTTTTAACGAAAAACGACGGCTAAAATTTGTTTAAGGTCACTCGAGATCATGACCTTCACAACATATGTCAAGATTAAGATCATTGGAGGATGGTCCCTTATACTGCATAATTCTACTTTCATAACTGCTGTCATAACCCTACTTTCTTCATTACTACTGAACTTTAATAGTGTCAATGTATTCAAATAATAATTGCTTGTTAGGTTACAATAATTGTAAGGCAACCATTAATTGCACATTAAACTGCACATATCATTTTACCATGAAATTAAATACGAAAGTTATTTGATTAAGCAAAAAGATTGGATTTATAATATTAAAATAATAAAAATTCCATAATTTTAGATACGCAAAATTAAATTGGACAGAAATTAATTTGGATAGAAATAATAAAAAATATAGTTATAATTTAATCAAAATTTCGAGACCTCTTATAAGGCTAAAAGGCTCTAGTTCGAGACATCCATTGTACTCCCTTTTTGCACGGCCCTGTGAAAATAGTGAGTAGGAAGAAACAAGTAAATTGCAACATTTAGACAGTACCTATTTCGTCATCAAATACGTTTTCTGATAAAAGTACCTCTTGCCTTAGATAACATATCTTCAGGAAACCTCTTGAGACAGTGTTTCTTGTACGACCATTCAGTATTTCGCGAATTTTCTCAAACTCAAATTGTTTTTTGGAGTATTTATTATAATGTAAACGAATTTTTTTCATTGTAGAAAGAACACATTTTTATTTATATGAGGTAAGTATTTTATAAATTATCCAATGTTCTTGAATTTGAGCCTTGAATTTAATAAATTTTAATTTAAAAACATAGAAAGAATTATCTAGGATATGATAGGACAAGAATAATGTATGCATATTATTTAACACAATAGATAGTTCTTAATTAGACTAGATTGAATATTTGTAAACTTTAAACATTTGCTTAATTGCCTTTTTTTTGTCACTTATAAATAATCTTTATTTGAGCATTAGCCTCTAATTGCACTGCTTTAATTTGGATTGTGTTTTAATTCTAGTTATAAAACATTTTAAACAAAAATTTCTAATTTCTAATAATTTCGCTTAAAAAAGATTAGCGAAATTATAGATAGTTCCCTTGTCTTCCCTTCTCCCGATTATAAAATACAATTTTTATTATGTTCCAACAGCGTATTCTAAAAAATCAGCTACAATGTCCAAATTGATATCATTGATACTTTCGCTGTCGAAACATAAGTTGATAATCATAACATTAATCGGTGTGGTTATTGGAATGTCGTGCGGCTTGGGTCTTAAGAATTATAGCGGAAGAACATGGTCTCAACGAGATATCATGTACATCAAATTTCTTGGAGAGCTATTTCTTAGAGTGGTAAATTGTTTAATATTACCACTCGTCACGTCCAGCATTGTAAGTGCCACTTGTAATCTCACTAAATCTGGTAAGTTTTTTAGATCATCAAAATTCTTAACGAAATCTCTCACACACACTCTTTACTTTTACTTACTATATTTTTTATATTAAAAAGAAATTAAAGACAAAATTAGATACAAATTAAATATAATATATATCGTAAAATATTTTTCACATGTGAAGAACTATAGAAAAATATTACAAGGAACGAAAGTTGCTCTTTTTAGAGTCCGTTATAATTACACAGGGCCTATTGGATTTATGGCATTGTGCTATTATCTGACGACTACTACGATTGGAATAACTTTATGTGTTGTACTTGTTCAGACAATACGGCCGGGCGAATTAATGAGAGACGAAAAACCTATAAATATACCAACGTCCACGAAAACCTTTATAACAGTGGATACAATTCTGGATATGTTTCGGTAATTAAATGAATGCATGTTCATTATTATGAGCTTTATACTGTCATACTTTTAAAACTTTTTTACAATACTAAAACTAATAGAGGAAAAGGTGGGTTATGGCCTTTCTTAATATCTCCGCTATCAGATAATGAATTTCAAGAATTATTATATTTACGGAACGATTTTATATGTTTAATAGCTCGCCGTAACAAAATGGCGCTAATATAAGTCAATATATGATGTATAGCTAACTTTTAACGTGCTTTTTTGTTTTGGAGCATTTCGAAACATTTTAAGATACATTTTAGCATCTAATTTAACAGTATCGTAACTTATTTTGAACTTTTTAACAAATGACTTAGGAATAATATATTTAAATAGATAAGACAAATTTTTTATGTACTTGGCGTCACGCTGCTACCGCGTCACTTGATATAATTCAATATACAAACGTTTCGGCTTACAAAGCCTTCTTCAGTGATAATAATGTCACAATCCTCTCAACAAACAATTATTTAAAAATATACTTATTGTAACAGTGGTGATGTGTCTAGTTATGATAACGAAAATCAGTATAGCATGTTTTAGCATCTAATTATACATACTTCTTTAAATCATCATAAATTTCCCGCGA